CAAGCATTGAGCTGGAACCGGTAGATTTGGCCCGACGCAACTTCGGTGACGGGGGCTGGTGGGCTTGGAGGCGGTTGTTCGCAAGAGGGAAGGCACGACGCGACGCAGTGTGACAAGGAGCTTGTGTGGTAGGCAAGATCGAGGAGGGGGGTTCGTGCAGTACCGTGAAGGGCGACAGGTTGGTTGACCTGGCTTGCTTGCGCAGCAGAGATCTTCGGGGTTGGCAAGATCCGACAGTGACCAAATCTGCTTGCACATTAACACTAAAGGGGGGGTTGCATCATTAGGGTATATAGAGTCTGGGAAGGAGGGAGGAATTGGTTCTCGTGGTTTCTAGAGGGTATTTTGAATCATTTTAAAAAATTAAGGGGCACTTTTAAAATAAAGAAAATGAGTATTTATGAAAATAATCCTAAGTTCTTTATTAAGAAATACACGTGTCCACAATTAAGACGTTTGAAACATGAAATTTTGGGGTTCGCCAAGAGTGAAAAATACAGTGCTTTGACGTGCAGCTACGAAACATGCAACCTCAGGACCACACGTGTTAAAGCCAAAGGGGCGTTTCTGATGTGGCTTTTGTCTTTGGTTCGGACAGTGTGAGAGATGGAATGCTCGCACGTGACACCCCCTCTCATCTTGGCGGGCCTAAAGGCTGTGGCCCACTTAGTGGGCCCACGTAAAACGCAGCTCACACCCACTTGTAGGAAAATCATTTTTTGTGGGCCACAGACTCACAGCCATCAGACACCGGTGCTCGCTGCGGCGTAGAATTACCTGAATGTCCTTCCGACGCGCTTTGTCTGTTTTCACTTGAGTGACAATTTTACCCCTCAAACATTTTGCTCCGATAGGAGTGTATTTGATTAGATGTATTACCCGTTCATTTCGCTGATTCGAGTTTAGAATTCGAGTTTTGCTACAGTAAAAAGCTCTCACAAACAATCACATTTAACTTTTTTACTACAGTAAAAAGCTCTCACATAAAATCACATCTCAACTCGAATCAGCGAACTAAACGGGATATTTACAAATTTACAAATTATCAAATTTTTACCTGAAAAATAAAAATAAAAATTTAATATTTAATTAGATTTTGTCTTGTTTATTTTTAAATTGAGAAAATAACTTAACTTACATGTATTAGTCTAAATTTTTATCTCTTATTATTGATTAATATCTTTTTAATTAATATAATAATTTGACTAAACAAAATATTATTCAAAAGTAAGAGTAAGTAGTAAAAATCCAGATTCATATACTTTAAGATATATTTATCACTTTTCATCCTTTAAATAACTAGCTAGCTACGGCAATTATCAACTTACATCTCATATATATGTTTTGAAACATTTTAAGCTTGAACCTATAGCTCACTTATGGTTTAAAGTAATCAATTCTCATTAGTGTAATAACTATTTTTTTTTTCTTTGGAGAATCTAACAGTGTAACAGTAATAAGTAATAACTACTAGTAATCTCTTTCAACAACAACAAAACAAAAAAAAACAAAAAAAAAACAAAAAAAAAACAAAAAAAAAAAAAACTAAACCTCTTTCACAAATTAAATTTGAACCATATGGCTTCAAAGATATAGCAAGCTATACAAAATATAATAATCACGTGAACTGTCAACTAATCAGGTCGATAGAAGTCTTTTAACACCAAATTTAAGTGCTCAAGATCAAAGTTAATAGTTTATGATCCCTCCCCTAAAAAATGGATAATTCTAGACTCCTCTATTTTATTTTATTTTTTTTTAAAGAAAATTCTACGATATGGCACATTGTTTTTTCCTACCAGAAAAGTAATTTTTTTAACATTAGATTAAATTTAATAATCTTACAAGTGTACAGATTAAGAATATACAACACAAAAGTAATGCACCTGTAGATCAAATTGTTAAAATTTTATTGAATAGTTTAAAAAACCTCCTTTATCAACAGGGCAAAACAACATGCATCAGTATAGAATTTACCCTTTTTTTTCCTCCTACTCTTCTCATTTTTATCTCAAATTCCCCTTTGTATTATCATTTTAATCTTAAAGACAAAAGTTTGATAAATTGACAGATTTGCTAAATTGATAGGTGGTTTTAAATTTTCATGATATCGGTTTAAATTGACAAATTTGCACAAAATTGTGATACGTCCTAGAAAGAAAAATGACTATGATCTTTGTCGGGGTCCAATAGATTCGGAGGGTATGACTTGGCAGAGTGTGTACGTGCAAGTATTTGACTCGGTGGTGGCGGTTCCAACATGGCCAAAGTACTTAAAGGGCATTCGAAGTAGATGACAATGGTAGGACCTCTGACAGTGGTGTGGTTCGCTTAGGCCCAAATTAGGTTGAAGAATATGTGTTCTAAGACCCTCTTTGTTGCCAAAATCTTAAAAATACCCTTATAAGAAAAATGTTAGAAAATCCAAAAAACTAATAATGAAGAATGGTGAGAGGAGTGATCACGTAGTTGATGGAGGAGTGACTCGAGAGGTGGATAAGGTTTTTTGATGGAGAATGGCTCCAAAAGCAATTCTCGGGCTGTTTTGGAGGCTTTGAATACGTAGTTTCGTTGGTGGATAATGCGCTGATGTAGAAAAATGAAACGGAGGAATCTGGTGAAAGAACTCCGAAAGTGAATGCATGTTGTTGTGAGAGCGTGGAGACCGTTTGGAGCACTCCCTCCAACGGTAGACGAGAGTGGCTATGAGGTTGGAGGCTTGAATACGTCCGGAAAAGTGTGAAAACAACTTTCAGAACGCTCTCAGGTGGTGTTAGAAGAGAATTGAAAAGTGTCCTTGATGAGTTTTAAAGGAAGTCAACGCTTAGAAACTATGGAGTTCCTCGAGAACTTGAAGAAGGCTTCAAGTCTTTGTAGCAAATGACTTGAAGAAAACACTTAGAAAGAGATTTTGAAGTGAATTCTCAAGAGTTTCAGTACCCAAGAAAGTGATAGTGAAATTTGATGTATTGATCTAGTGTGCAGGTGTGTTTGCGTAGAAATGAAAAAGGTGAAGGGGTATTTATAGGAGTAGATGGGAGTGCTTGACAGCTGCTCTGATGAAGGTCTGAGCACTCATTTCTGTTTGGAGGAAGACTACCAGAGGGCTTTCTTGGTTTGATAAAGAGATGGTCTGAAAATGGAATGGAAGAAAAGATGGCGGGCTGTCGGAGCATCCCATTCGGAGGAAATGTGTCAGATAGCTTTCTAAGTTTGACAAAGAGACTCACCGAAAATGGGATGCAAAGTTTCTGAAAATTTACTATGGCGACGTTCTGATGAAGTAAGGCATAAGTCATTCTGTTTGGAGCAAAATCTCAGCTACCTTGTCAGAAGAGGCAAAATGACACCTTAGAAGTGTAAATACTTGGAGGCCAAGTTCCGGATTTCGGGCTGACACAAAGTGACTTCAAACCTGAAATCTCTAAGAGTGTTTGACTCAACCAAGTGCTCTGAAGACTTTCTTCTTTGGGGGTCTGATCGCATGTCAAACCTTCGTTGGAGGATGTTTGTACGAAAATGACTAAGCAACCATTGAACTTACTCTGACAACAAATTGCTCCGACACCAGGTTGCTTCGAATGCAAATAAGTGCTCCGAATAGACAACCTGATACATAGAAGAGCTGGGAAAGCACACCTGACACAAGAAGTGCTCCTAGAGGCATGTCTGATTGGGAGAAAAGCCTTCGAATAAGCCAAAACTAATGGATTTATCATGCCTTTCAGTTGGAGAAAATTTTTGAAGGATAGGCTTAGGCTTTTGGCAATTCAAGAGCTGAAATAAAGGATTTTGGGCTTCCAAAGACAAAGAGAAAACTCTCTTTTGAATCCTTCATCATACATTCATGCTTAATTTGACTAATTCTGAAAAAACTCCCTAAGCGGGTTTCAAATTGAGTCAAATTAAGGACAAATGGGCCTATATGAATCGAGCCTAATTACGTCATGGGACGCAAAGGATTGGACATGGACCCTTAATGAGCATGGTACGAATTCATGTATCAAGGATCTTCAATCTTTATATTCAAGTGTGAGGGTTTTAAGTTACATAAACAAATATAAATTGGCTCATTATATTCTAGTTGTCATTGCTCTTTTTGTTATAGTTGTTTTTCATTTCATTTATTAGTTTTCTTAGGGTTGTTTTTACTTTCATTTTTATTTTTATTGTTTTGTTAGCCATTATAGTTGGTTTATGAACTTGTAGATGTGCCCTTCAAGTATTTGAACTTGGATCACATCTAGACAAATAGAAACATGCAACGAGCAATGATACGAAATGCACGTGGCATAAAAAGAAAAATTTGAGTACATATATAAATATTTTTAAGACAAACTAGAGGTGAAAGTTTGGGTTATTCGGCCCAACCCGACCCTAAATAAAAGAGTAACGGCCCAGTCCCGTCATAAGCCTAAAAGGTTTAGACCGATTCAGAATTTTATAAGGTATTTTCAAAAAAAAAATCTTTAAAAAGTAGACGTTTTTTTCGAGCAGAACATGGCGAATAAACTTTTAAACTCGAAATCTTAGCCAACCTAAACCTCCATAGTGGTGGGTCTCAGACCGATTTGTTTGCCTCTTCACAAACTTACAACTTTAAGACAAATCAATTCCCGTAAGACCTATAAAAACACACGTATAGGTTTAGTTACCGATCAGTAATTTTCTTCCTCTCAAAAAGAAAAAATAGAAATACGGTTGTGGGTATTTTCAAAACCTGGATTCTATAGGTGAAATTGACAATTACATCTAATATCATAAAAAATAAAGGAAAAGAAATTAAGATTTTGTTCATTTCACCAATTCAAATTTTATTACAGTAAAAAATTTTAAAAAATAATAACATATATTTTTTTTACTATAATAAAAAATTCTTATATAAAATTATATTTTAACTTAAATTAAAAACTTAAATCTAATTTGTAGCAAACTAAACGCGCCTACATAAATCCGTGCAGAGCGTCACTTTTCCAAACTTTATCATCAATTGTGAAATGTAAACCTACCTACTCTCTCTCTCTCTCTCTCTCCAAGCATAATCATCGTCAATCTATGATATCCACTCGGTTTCTCTCTATAACGTTCCGAAAGATATATTTATAGAAAGAAAAATTGAAAAGAGAAGCCCCACTAAATTGAAAAATTTTCCTTTGCAATTTGGACCTCTTCCCTCACATCAATTTTTATTTTTTTATTTTTTCTGTTAACAGTCCACACCAAAAAAAGGAGACAACTTCAGAATTCAGAACATCTATTTTTACATTATGTCCTCCTTTGCTCAAATCATCCCCAAAATCCGGACTCTCTTGATCTTTGTAAACCCTCTTTTCTTCATCATCCATTCCCATATAATTTATTCCTAAATTAGACAATTTCCTTCTCCTCCTTTTTTTTTTTTTTTTTTTGCTAATCAAAAGAAACCCCGTTTCAGTAAAGACACTACCCACCTTATTCGCCTATATTTCTTCTCTTTTTAAATATACATTGCAAGAAAAGATTTTTCTTTTTTCTGGGTTCGCCTATTTTTCCCTCTCCATATTCGCTTTTCTGGGTCTGAGGAGTTGTTTGAATTTTCACATTGAGCCCACCTGAGGAAAATAAAAAAATAAACAATTTTTTTTTTTTTGAGGGAGTATTTTAGTTTTGTTACAGAAGTTCAAGTTCCTTATGGCAGCAGCCAATTATATTGTTTATCTACATGTGAGATTTTGGTGATATGCTGAGTTTCCGGCTTTTCTTCCATGAACTTTTGAGGTACCCATTTGAGAACAACAAGGTTGGTACTTCGTAACCTCTTTTCTTTTGTTCTTTTTGTTATTCAATTCCAAACTTTTCTAACATAAACAATAACATTTTCATGGTCTTTAGCTGGTGGGTTTTTGACCTTTTCTTGCTTAAAACAAAGAAGATCAGCCTTTGATCTGCCACAAGAAGCAAAAGAAAATATGTACGGAGCTCAAAGCAAAAGAGACCTTGCCTTAGAATTCCAATCCCAAATACCAATTCTGAGGCCAAGCATCCATGCCAGGAGGGCCAATCTGACTGTGAAGTTCCAAGACCTTTATGGGTTCACAGTAGAAGGGAATGTGGATGATGTGAATGTGTTGAATGAGGTGAGAGAAAAGGTGAGGAAACAAGGAAGGGTTTGGTGGGCATTGGAGGCCAATAAAGGTGCAAATTGGTACCTGGAGCCTTCCATATCAGAAGGGATTGCCTTGAAATCTTCTCTCAAATTTTCCACTCTGGCAAATGCCATTACCTTGAAGAGGCTTATTAGGAATGGAATTCCTCCACTTCTTAGGCCCAAGGTTTGGTTTTCCTTATCTGGGGCTGCGAAGAAAAAGTCAACTGTGCCTGAGAGCTATTACAATGATCTCACAAAGGCTGTTGAAGGGAAAGTCACACCTGCAACTAGGCAGATTGATCATGTAAGCCCCTCTGCCCATCTTGGTTTATTTGATAATTGTTTTTGCCAATTTAGACTTTGAAGATATGTGGTCAAAATTTGGTGATGAATGGAATTGGAATAACTTTTATATCAGTAGTTATGGTTTCCTTGTTATTTTTTATTTTTATTTTTATTTGAATATGTTTGGCAGATTTGTCGTTTGGACCATGTTGATGACTCTGTATCAAATCCATTTTTGCAAAAGTTTCTCTCTTTTTTTTTTTTTTTTTTTTTTTCCCTTTTTTTAAAAATTTTTTTTTTTTTTTTTTTTTTTTTTTTTTTTTTTGGTTCTGAAAGGTTGTGTTTGTCTTTCTGGTGTAAAATTCTGTTAGCTATGTCTCAGAACCATCCAATAAAGGAAACTAGTATTTGTGTTGCATTGAATATTCTAGTGGGATCTGATCATAAAAATGACTACAATCACGGACGTATAATCTTGCGGACAGAGAGAAAGTAGCATGCGACTGGCCCAGTCATAATGTCAGATCTTGAAAATTTTTTTGTGTAGAACTAAAAGGCAAGAATCAACAATGTCATTAAATTGCTTTTACAATTAGGGCTTGCTTGGGTATATCTGTTTGTTAGAACTAAGAAATAAGTCAGGAAAGACGGCATGGTTTAAAAATTCACATAACTTTGCTTGTTGTCGAGATTTGGTAGTGGCCAAGTCAAGCAAGTTTTGGGGTTGTCAATATGGTGCGAGTAAATGATGGCTGAAGCTAAACCAGGTCTTTTTCTCCCTTCAACATGAGGGTTTTATGTGGCCTCTTTAATTGTAACGTAAGATAATGTGCTTGTTATGGTTCATTCTTGTGGATTGAAGTTGAAAATTTTCATGTTTTATGGTTTATGTCTTTTCGATGTATTTGTGATATCTTATGCTGCTTAAAGTTCTTCCACTTGTTCTCCTTAATTTCCTCAAGTTTTTCTTCTTATTGTTGTTCATTTTGTAAGTTTCTTCAATTTCTCATTGAGTTCTAAATCACACGTGCAGGACCTTCCACGGACCTTTCCAGGTCACCCATGGTTGGATACTCCAGAGGGCCATGCTGCTCTGCGACGTGTTCTTGTTGGGTATTCTTTCCGTGATTCCGATGTAGGCTATTGTCAGGTATACTTCTTCATAAATCTTTCAAAAGCTATTTAGATTCTCGGTTTAGTTATTACAGACAAAATTATATACCCTTTTTAATTCTTCCCAACCCAAAAAATATTCCGCTTATCATGCCCTAGAACCAATATTGATCTTCTATATTAACATTTGATATCATTGGTGCAGGGCTTAAATTATGTTGCAGCATTGTTGTTGCTTGTAATGAAAACAGAGGAAGATGCATTTTGGATGCTTGCTGTCCTCCTGGAGAACGTTTTGGTTAATGACTGTTACACAAATAATTTATCGGGATGCCATGTGGAACAAAGAGTTTTCAAGGATCTACTTGCCAAAAAATGCCCTAGGTATTTTTACCTTTCATTTACATGGCCATATCTTTTTTCCCCATTTTCTATTTTCTTGTTGGTGTCTCTGAAAAACTGGAAGACAAATGCAGGATAGCCACTCATTTGGAAGCATTGGACTTTGATGTTTCCCTTGTTGCCACTGAGTGGTTTCTTTGCCTCTTTTCTAAGAGTTTACCTTCAGAGGTTAGATTAGTGGCGACTATCTCTGTTCAAATTGAAATTTTAATGTTGTTCTGATGACTTACAGTTCTTCAATGGTGCTTTTTTCGTGTTTCTAGACAGCTCTTCGGGTATGGGATGTCCTTTTCTATGAGGGAGCAAAGGTGCTATTTCATGTGGCTTTGGCATTCTTTAAGGTACTGAAAGCTTTTCAACCGTCAGAACTTTGCATCATTATAGGAACACAATATTAATAAGCTTCTTAACTTGTGATTGAAAAGGAGATCTAAATAAGGCATCACTTTAATTGATATTGTGATCTCCACTTGCAGATGAAGGAAGACGAGTTGCTTTTAACCCATCATGTGGGTGATGTAATTAATATTTTGCAGAAAACTACTCATCATCTCTTCGACCCTGATGATCTATTGACGGTAATAAAATTTTTCACCAAGTTTTCTCTTTCATTCTATAGTTTTTCATAATTCTCACCCTTTCTCTGCTTGTGGGTATAAACAACTTTTGATGCTGAGACACGACATAACATGAATTTGAAGTTGACGATACACATTTATTTGGGATTCATCATTGCTGAATAGTAAATAATCTTACAAAAGTACAATTGAAAACCACTATAAAAAAGTATAGATGAGGCCTCAAAATTTACTAGTAATAAAATGATTTATCATTTTACGAAGTTTTGAACATGAAAATCGCGTGAAATGACGACTCATTCTCCATACACACACCCGTGGCCCTTTTTGCTCCTGTACTTGAACCTGTGAAATTCTTCTTTCCTGGGATTACTTCTTCTTATTATCACTTTGAACGAAAAGGAGTTAATTGAATCATTCCGTTTTGTTAACCTTGCAGGTGGCTTTTGATAAGATAGGATCAATGACCACCAACACTATATCTAAGCAGAGGAAAAAGCAAGAACCTGCTGTGATGGCGGAGCTTGATCAGAGATTGAGACGGTTAAATTCGTTAAAATTGGACGACAAGTAGCGTTTTCTTTGTCAAGCTCATCAAACTGTAAAATGTCATGCATCCTCTAGATGCCTGTTGCCTTCTTAAGGAAGGGGCGAGCTTGAATTTGTGCCTTTACCAGCTTAAAGTGAGTGCCTGTTGTTTTTCAGGATTTTGTAGGGCATAAAAATGTAAATTTTTAATCTGTTACCATTTAACCTGGTTAAGAGACAATGCAAAACAGGGCAATGCCCTCTAATTTTTTTAATTATTGTTATATAGTGTACAATTATTATTTGAGTAGAAGCTAATTCTTATTTCCATCCTTTTGGATAATGGATTTTATAAACCGCAAGAGAACTGTTCGTGTTTATTATTTATTGTTCAAAAGAGTGCCTTATTTATTTGTCCGCTTTTATCAATTTTGGTGGCAACTATGACCAAGAAAAGTAGGAAAATGATTACATACTAGCTTCCGTTTGTAGATTTGAGCTCTCATGAAGCATATTCCAGGTTGCAATTCTAAATAACTAGCACAGTTCAACCATTTACACCTATTGCACTTGTAAATGTATAAACGTAAACGAGCTCTTTAAAGGTAGAGCTATAGCCTATTGGTAGATATTTATTAGTGGAATTTCAGTTGTCGAGTTTCGTTACAAGAAATTCAGAATTATTCTTTTAAAGTGTAATTTGAGTGTAATTTTTTAGTTGAATTTGAGTTATAACTTGAGTTGAAGTTGTAATTTGAATAAAATTGAGTAAAGTTGAATAAAATTGAAAGTTAAGAGAACGTGAACTTAAATAAAATTGTAACTTGAATTTAAATTTTTTTTGAGTTTTGTTGCAAAAGAACAATCCCTCAGTTCTTGTGCGAAACAAGCAGTTATGATCAAGATTGGTGATTTCCTGGAAACTATGCCTCCTTCCTGTGACAGTCGGATTACTGATCTGGATTGTGCACAATTTTCCAAATCCATCAGCGTACGTTCTTTCAACTTACCAACCCTTCTCCGCATTTTTGGGAATTCCAAACGCTTCGCGAAGCGCTTTGTAACATGTCGGTGAATGTAATGGGGGGGACAACTCCATGTCAATGCCACTTGTCAGAAGGAACAAAACCATCCCAGTTTGGCGGTATCAACTTCTCAGTTTGGCCCCTTTCCTCACATTCAATCCCATTAAGGCTATTCTTGCAACTGATATGAATGCCATCACCATAAAAAGAGCTTTGTAATACCTTGTCCTGAATACTTGCTCCAGTTCCTTCCGGTTCAGCTAAATCATTATAATCCAGAACATCATCCAATATGCTGGAGAGATCACCAGATGCATAGAGACTGGAACAGTCCTGATAGCAATCATATTTTTCCTCCATGAGATAGCTGTTTACGTTGTCGTTTCCCTCCACGTGCAGCGGCGCTTCCTGGAATACGTGCCTATGCCTTCTAGCTATCTCCTTGTAATTTGCACTCCAGTCACGGCGACTCCAAAGATACAAGGGTGGCGTCTTCAAGTTCCAATCCTCCAATTGCTTGTTATGCATGTCAACGGAACCAGGTAGATAAAATGACTGGGGAAAAAAAAAGTAAATATTGTAACTAGTCCATTTTAAAGTCTACACTCTATACATAAGGGTAGCAAATCACATCTCATAAAATTTCATGATTAGTTACTAGCAGATTACTTTTCCAGAGAGGAAAAAGAGAGAGAGAGAGAGTACCTTTCCTGATAGTATTACTTGATCCTCCCAAACTAAATCATACGGGAATCCTGTTTGGTCGAGCCTGGTAAAGCAGAGAGAGAGAAATATATATGAGATAGAGAGAGAAGAGGAGAAAGAAGTCAACTACAGGCACTCACCGTTTGGTTTCCTTTGGGACGATTAGGATGAGGAGTTTTGGTCTGAACTCCAGGGCCTTTCTGATGAACCTGTTTGCCAGAGATGCTTTCACTCCGAAAGGAGGATTCAGCCCCATGATCTACTTGAGAGAGAGAGAGAGAGAGGGCTTATAAGTATGAGACAAGCACCTTTTCTATACACGTAAAGGATTTGGGTGTTACCAGCTGAGAGCCATCGGGTAATTCATTTAACTTGACGCTCATCCAGTCTCTTTGCTCAAAGCTGAAATCGTTCTACAACAATAAAAGGATGTAGTATGTATGTGCAACTAAAAGACAGTATTCCAAGCGAGAGAATAGAAGGAAGAATGGAAAACTGCTGAGATGTTTGTCAGTACTCAAAACTAAGAGATACTTTGATGTGGAGATGAAGGTTGTCAGAAAAGAGATGCCAACACCAAAAATTCCTTTTTTTTTTTTTTTTTTTTTTTTTTCAAAATTTCACACAAACACAATACACCCCAGCATTACAGCAGAGAACATGGTCACATAAAGAAGAAATCGCATCAAAAGAGAGAAACACCACAAAAGGTTTTAAGGATCGTTGTCTAGTGTTGAAGACTCGAAGATTACAGCTATTAGGTAACCAACTTAGTGCAACATTGGAGCTTAGCAAATATCTTATCCTCCCTCTAAAAGGATAGAGTTTAAAACAAATGAGAATTAATACCAACAAGTTGACAACCACTAAACCATACAAAGAATTATGCTGATCCTTGCAAAATAGTAATAATCATCCACGATTAAGCATAAAAAGATTCACGTTTTCATATTCTTCAAACACACAAATGGTTAGCTAATTTCGAATTTATCCCCAATTCTTTGGTGTACAAATAAATTTACTGATCAACTGACAGAAGCCTTTCTTTTGAAACTTACTGGGCTCTCCTCATGAATCGTTCTGTCATTTCATCTGACAGAAGTCATTTCTCTCACTAAATCCTTGGTATTAGGAAGTTTACTGAATTAAAGGTATCTAAACAAAGAATCTTTACCCACATCATTAATATTTTAACAACATAGTCATCCTAGAAGTAGTCCTGCTTAAAGGAATTGGATCCATCTTACAGTTGCTTCTAAGAGGCGGTTGCTTCTAAGAGCGTCTCCAAGGGAGCTCTCTAAATTTTAGCTAAATTCTAGCTAAAATGGCTAGAAAACTATTTTAGCTAGCAACTTTTTAGTGAGTCAGTCCAACCATATTCTCTATTTTAGCTAAACATAGATTATTTTAATATTTATTGAATTTAAGATATATCTTTATTGAGTTTAAAAAAGAACCTTTCCATTTATTATGGTTGGAAGAATAAAATAATACAAAAAATGAAATGGCTAGCGTCTCCATAGCTAGTGTGGAATGCATTCTCTAAAATAGCTAACCATTTAGCTAATGGTTGGAGTGGAGAAAAGCTAAAAAAAATGCTAAATCGTTAGCTATTTTAGTTAAAAACATGAAATGACTAGCGTGATTGGAGTTGCTCTAACTGCAATATCGGAGTATAGAGGCATTTGACAGTGTAACTACTATAAACGAACTCGAGAATGTCTGCGATTGGCGTCTTCCAAATTTTATTTTTATTTATGAACTTGTCCGCAGAAGGTAGAGAGACGAGGAAACTACAATAGTAAGATAAAGGTCTACCTTGGCTATCAAAAGATCATAATTTTTGAAGAAGCACTGTTTCCCTGTATTTTCAAGCTTTTCTTTCATCAGGAGACTGAAATCATTGGAACCGCAACAAAAATCAACTATCTGTTGAAGGGAAAATGATAGTAGTCACTTTAGAGATGATACTAATAAAATTAACAACATTAGCTCGATGATGATGCATTTTCAGAGGTGAAAACAAAGGAAATGCATAGTTACGGGTCTATTTCATCAAGGTCCACGCCAATCAGATACATCACTTATCCACAGAAAGGATGCCATAAATTTCTAAAGTGAAACAACCAAACTAAAAAAACTCCTTACTGTATCTCCATCTTGCACATAGCAATGAAGCCTGTCAACAACCTGTGCACAGTTTATTTATGCGATTAGCCTCATGACCAGACTAACAAAGAAAATTATACAATTTACTATATTGTCCAGACCTACAGTAGAGGGATATTTCTAAGTTCCCAAAACCCTGAACAGGCGATTGCAAAAAGTAAAATTGCTTGTCATGAAAAAAAAAAAAAAAATCATTTACCTCTTTAAGCTTGTCAACTTTTGTGAAATGACGACCAAAAGATGTGTAACGCATGCCATGAAGAAAAGGTGCAAGATAGATGCTAAGCTTCCTCTGCAATGACGTATAGAGAAAATATTTATGCAGTCCACATAGAAAAAAAATAAAAGAAACTAACACAAGTATTGAGTAGCATACTAATAAAACTACTACGTCTAGGTCAAAAAAGTGTGAAACTTCTAAAAAGCAAACTATTTTATTAAATCCTAGAAACATAAAAAAGATGATGTAAAAATAACACGACATACATCGTGCAATTAAAATTATAAGTAAAAACAAAACAATGACCTAAAGAAGCCAAAATTTTCTTCCTAAGACCAGTGTTCTCCTTATGCAACTTGTTTACAGTTTTTATTTTTTTAGCAAAAAATGGTTGTTCTGAAAAATGGAAGAATAAAGGTACAAGATCATTAGCATAGATAAGAGTAACAACTCGTAAGTGAAAGAGAGAAAGAAAAGAAGAAAAGAACACCCAGAAGATCAACAGATTTGTGAAACATAGATTTTGCAAAGAAAACTTGATTGTAGATAAAGTGGTTTTGAACCTTCCATTTAAAGATTTGCGCAAGAATCTCTGGTTCACAAACAGCTTTTGCATCCTCAACACTACATCCTTCACGTAGCTTCTTTGAGGCTGTTCGAATAGCCTGCAAGTGTATTAAGAGTTTTAGATAAAAAGATAAGCAAAACCACAATCTTAATAGTTGTAAGCCATAATTACCATGACAGAGCCCTCCACTTTTCCTGTTGTAATGGTTTTGTCCAGTAAGTTTCCGGAGAATAAACCACAAGTAGCTGGGAGTTGCTGCGCTTTTGTGAACTCTTCATGATTGAATGAAGAGGTAGATTCTTCCATTAGAGCCAAAATTCTTTATACCAAATCATGCCAATAAAAAACAATAAAGCCAGGGCATTATTCTGTTGAACTGTATGATTACAATCTGTAAATTCAGTAAGAAATCTTGTATTGTTGAAACAAGGAACAAGGTCAGTAATCACCGCTTTTCCATTTCAGCCTGAACTGAAGATGGTAACTTCTTTTCCTTTTTAATATCATGCTCTTCTGTAGCTTTTTTTCCACTGGCACTAGCTATCGGCCACTTGGACTTTACTGGGTAAGTCTTTAAGCTAATTGATGAGGTATTCTGCATTGGTAACTTGCGTTCAGTTGTTGAGAAGAAACGATGTGGAGCATGTCCAATGTTTTTTGTTGAAGATTTTTTTACTCCATCATTTGTATTTGGCTTTGTCAACAGACCAAAACCTGGCCCAGCACTTCTTTTCCTGATATTTTGTGTTGATTGACCAGTAATGAAACTACAACCGACCTTTTCAAACTGTTTTGGATGCTTAACTACTTGCCCTTTTGCAGCTAAAGTTTTGGATCCGTTAATTCTCATTGAAACTGTAGCCCTCGGCTTGCTCGAATGGGGCCATGAACTGTGTGACTTATGTTGTCCTTTAACATCAGGAAATTTCAAATGATCCCTAGCTGGAGTCTCTATTTCTCTAATAATCTCATGGTCCCTGGTCAATATAATTAACAATCCGCACAGCAAAATGTAATGTGACTTCAAAAGCTAACTTCAAGCAGACACAATGACACATGTCTTCAAATGAACTTACAACTTACATGCAATACATCAGTATCCGATTAGGAAGTAGACCATCCCAAGCCCTTTGCATAATGTTTCTATCACGGTCCTTCTCAAAAGTAATGGTCCTGAAAATTGATCCAGGGAACCAACCATCATTATTAACCAGATGTCCAATCGTTTCAAAGCATAACTTCATATTACTATCAATGCTTGTAACAGAAAAGTTGAGTTTTGAAGTGCCTGGGTAAGCATTTCCTGTGATATGCCTTTGGACACCGTCGACAGATTGCAAACTGCAACTCATGGACCTTCTTGTTCTCACCTTGCTTACAAACAAAACACTTATGAACAGGACAGGTAAATGATTCCCCTGCAGCGATTCTGTTCTGAAGTTCTTCAGCTTGACTTTTATTAGCTGGTTGGAGTAGTTTTGCAACACATTGAGGATGATAGAAATTTCCACAAGTTGCAGAAATACAAGGAAAGACCTTACATGCAACAGATAAACACCAAGTTGAGAGATTTGGAATTTAGTTCTGAACTAATTAGCCAATGCTATTGTGAAAGTACTGAAATCTGATAAGCAATAAGCTGGAGTAACAGCAGACAATAAGATTTGATAGTTAACTATTGTTGTAATTATAACCCAAAGATAATACTACCATGAAATTACATCCAACAATTAACAAAAAGAGCCTTAGAAAACTTTTTCTTCTAATATCATGAACCAATGAGTTCAGAAACTACTCTGATTTATTGAGTCAACCATATTGTAAATTTCATGAAAACCTATATAAGAGACCGGAAAATTATAGTAACAAGGTTGTTCCAAAAATCTCTACTATTGATATGAATGCCTTTTTTTTTGGCATTTAAAGGGCACAAGAATAGCTTATCTAAATAAATAAATAAATAATACCCTAGAGAGGCATTATGATCCAGTAACGTTTCGCAGGTGATGAATGTATTCTCTTTTTTTTTTTTTTTTTTTTTGGTTACAGTTATAGTAGTCTGTCTCTGTTCATGATATTGCTCAGAGAGAGGAACTCCTTTATAACGTCTTTCGCCAGATTTCTCCTTGTCAGGGGTAGTAACTTGATGCAGTTCTTTGATTTGTATATATTGAAAAACCAAACATTTGCATTGGTAGAATAATGTCTTTAGTCTTATATATTCAAAATTTCAAATAAAATTCAGATATTGTAATTTAATAGAAATCCATCAATAATATGCTTCATCAAGTTGCAGTTATACACTGATATGTTCTTATCTTTCCTTAAAAATGATGGCATGTTCTTAACCCTCCTATGGTATTTTTGGAAGATAAAAGTGCCCCAGGCAATGCATCGATGATGGTATACCTTAGCCCAATCAAAGAAGTGCTTCGAGCAACTAAGAAACTAGTGTCAAAAAATTTACCTCTGCACTCAAGGAGTTATCTGAAGAGCCCAACTTTCCACATACAAAGCATTGATGCTGCATATATTTGCAATTTGCACACAAAAAGGTTGGAATTGCCTGCATATGCTCAAAGTTAATTATAGGCGCAAGTAACTGGAAATTGCAAACGAAAAATGGAAAAGAGAGCATAATTTGACACATTAATCGAAACCATCAGAACACATACTTTAACTTGAGCATCATCATATCCAAGAGATTCGCAGGTATAACCACCAGCATCTATAGTTGCATGGAAGGATCGCATGCATCTTCCTTGACAACTGATATGAAATTGCAATTTAATCCAACATAAGAGAAGAACTGCAAAAGCAAAAACAAAAAAAACAAAAAAACAAAACAAAACTAGTCCTAAGACTAGGGCCAGATTAGGGTCGCCTAAATACTTGACTTACGCTTTTAGGAACCTAAACAATGTACCAATAAGAAACAAGTCTGTCTAAGAAAACCATACTGAAAGGAGGACTTTAAAATAGACAGCATACCACACTATTTCACCACCATTATCACATATTGTGCAGACATGATCATATAACTCATCATCTTCATCAAAACATTCACCATCATCTTCATCAACGTTGTCCATATCAACTATAAACTTTGGTTTCTTTTTTATTTGTACATCCTGCTAAACCAGCAGCAAAGGGACCTCAAATACAGTCATAGGCACTGAAATGCGATGAAGACAAAGCAGCAAAGTAAAGTGTAAATTGACCTCATCAAAAGCTGTACCATTTCCAGGCTTCTCCATATATGTAAGCAGATACTGAAACGTATTCAGAGAAGGAAATCATTAGTAAATGCAATATGAAGCATTGAATAACTTACTTTTGTTCAAGATAATTAGATGTAGCTTTTAATTTAAACACGATTGAATAAAATTTTATGCATCCCAGAAACAAATAAAAGCCATAAGAGAAACTTTGTTGTAAACTTTTGTTCTTTCTGGGAATAGAGAAAGAACTGGATGAACCTAATCAACCTGTGTCGATCTTAAAAATATAATGAAGTAGATCTAGGTCCAAACGACACAGTTGCGCCATTGAATCAATCTATGGTATGATCAGATAGAGTTGAGACCCTCCCAAAGGTCTTTTAGTAGGAGACAAAATGGCATGGCCATCTCGACCTAAATTCTTTTGACAATGATTTCTTCAACTTGATTTATGAGCCTGCAACGTTTTGGTTCAAATGACTTGCAAATTGATCTTATATTTCTAAATTCCGGTACTAAAAAAATCTAAACTCAAAGGATGAACAAAAAGTAAAATGGTCCCTGTTAGCTTGGTGAATGTTAAAACTCTAAAACTTTACAACATAAAATCAACAACAACCATGCATTTCGCCAAATCTTTATCCCTTCTAACAGCTTCAGTAATTAACGCAATGTGATCCAACAAATCCTTTCCAGAAGGCTCAACCTCAAATGAGCTGCAAGAGACACAGAATCATCACTATAAACAAGCAAAATAGCACATAAGAAAATCACACAACCATATACAAAAAAACGCAAACCTAAAAACTCTAGTCAAGTAGTTCCACAAATCCTTTCCTAATGCCTCAGGACTCTTCTTCAAGAAATGAAGCCAATGAAGGGTGACAAAAACCGTCCTGATCGTATTCTCGAAACTCTTCCGTGGCTTCTGGAGTGCTATCCAATTCATGTCTTTCGAAAGAACCGAAATCTCAGGCTGCACAAAAGAGAGATCAAACTTCCAAGCTATGACCCTCTTGAAAACCTTCTGAAGTCCGTCGTCCTCAGCGGTGGCAAGCAAGAAAACCTGTCTTCCTGATTGAACCAGGCTCTCATTTGGTCCCCATTGAAGAGGCAAAGTAGTGAATGAGACAGGCTCTTCCACATGATTAACAAAATGGTAGTTTGTGACACATTTTGGCACAATCTCACCCTCTTCGTCTGACGATGCCATTAACAAACTGAACGAGTTATTCACAGAAAGCAACTTCTAATTAGTAAGAAACAAAAATGGATACTAATGAACAAATTATTCACATAAAACAGCTTTAATTATTAAGAAAAAAAAGGGTAAAATACTAAAGAACGAAATATTCACAGAAAACAACTTCGAAATATTAAGAAACAAAATTATAATATTGCTATTCATGGAAAATGACTTACAATTATTAACATATGAAAATATTACTGAACAAATTATTCACGGAAAGTGACTTCAAATTATTAAGAAACAGAATTGGAATATCACTGAGCAAATTATTCACGGAAAATAACTTCAAATTATTAACAAACAAAATCAGAATAGTAATTAACAGATTATTCATATAAGTTATCAATTATTAAGAAACAAAACTGGAATACGAACGAACAAATTATTCAAAGAAAATCCCCAAATGCAGACTGAAATCAAATTTCAAGTGGTTCAAAATTCAAAAAACACAAAATATTTATAAAGTAAAGCTTATTCAATTTGTTTTATTCGCTAGAGAACAATAAATCTTGGTTCTAAAAAGAAGACCGTCAGATTTCTCGGCAACCAAACACATTATACAGATTTTCGCCAAAAAGAACAAAAAAAAACAGAGACTGAGGAGGTTCAGTTCACGGGAACATTCCCGACTCTGCATTACCAAATATGGAAAGAGAGCTTGTAACTGATTCCAAATGAAAATGTGAGAAACTGATTTCAGAACTTTTTTCTTTTTTTTCTTTTTTTGGTTGAGAAAAGAAATGAAAATTTTCTCTTCGTTTTTTTTTTTTTTTGTTTGGGTTTGATTACCAGCTAGCAAGAAAAGTAGAGTGGGTTTGTGAAGAAGGAAGACCGACGACGAGAATGACAAGACTTCTTCTCCTCACTCACTCACTACTTGTAGTAATGGTACGGAAAAGGTGCGACAAAGGAAAAACCGTACACACGCTATAAGTAACCGTTCTTGGGCAAATTCTCTCACGCATTTTTTGCTTTTTTGCATTCACCCCCTTGTGCTTTTCAAACTTTAGGATATTGGTCCCTGTACTTTATATCTTGATAATTTACTGCTCTTACTCTGAAAACCGTTGCAAAGCTGACCAAATTGATTATTCCGGTGAACTTTTTAGATGGTTTGCACCATGTGACTTGCACATGACCGTTTCATGAAGGTAGTTTTCCTCATTTTTCTTTGAATTGGTCCCCATTTCCTTCCAGAAAATAAAAGAATATGGGTACAGTTTTGAAGCAAAATGACTAAGGGCGCATTTAAAAGATATACTCAAATTCTGATTTTTTATTTTGACATTTAAAATTAAAATTTTTTATGAGAGAAAAACATTATAGCATAATTAATTATTTTGAGTTTGAATATATGAAACAAACGAGCTCTAAATCTGTTCTCATTAGATAATCACATCCAAGACACTTGGTGCAAATTGTCTAAAAGTTTAACATAATTGTTAGTTTGACCAGCTTTGCAACAGATTTTAAAGTTAGAAGATAAATTATCAAGATCCAAAATTAAAGAGCAAATACGTGAAATTTAGGGAATTCATGCAAAAAAAACTTCCATTTTTTTTTATTGGAGTCAAAATCTATCTTAACTCCAAATCAACTAAATTGATCTCTTTCTCTCATTCAAACTCTGCCTTCTCTCTCTAAGAATTTTAGTGAATTGTGATGAAATGCGTAAAAGAGTGTCTTTTTCTTTAGTGCTAGCTGGTATTTATAGATTTCTCTAAAGCTCATCCTGCTATCGTTTTCCATTCTGTAAAATGACTTTGTTTTGTGACGATTCATAATTGCTCCCCACAGTTTTATATTTTGTCTTTGTACGTCTATTATTTGTCAAATTGAAGCGGTAATTTTTTAGTTTTCTTTCTCTTCCGTTCTATCTCCAAAGAGTAATTTATTCAGGTGTTTTCTTTTCTTCTATAAATTGTTTTAAGTCGTTCTGGTAGAAATGAAAGAAACATAGATGAAATAAAATATGTAACAAATAGAAAAGTGTAATGATAGAAAAAATATCAATTTTTCCTTAGATTGACAAGTGTTTGCGACCAAAGATGAAGAACAATGTGTTATTTTTGTTCTCATCACCATCTTCAAACACGCCGTAGCTAAATATACTGCAATACTTATTCTATTGGCGTAGTTGTTTTTGTTCCTTTTTTTTTTTTTTAAACCACATACCACTTAATTATAAGTTTGATCATGTGTTAAAACACGTGATCTTTTTAAAAATTAAGTTCATTTTAAAAATAAAAGGGAAAACAATATTAAAAATGTAAATCCAGGTGGCACACTTAGAGTGGTGTCAAGAAGCTTAGGTGGGATTAGTACAGGTTATGCGATAAGGGTAGTTTTGTCTTTATCATTTGTAACAGTTTCAACGTTTTGTTAAAACAGATTAAAAAAGCAGTTTTCTCTATTCTTCGATAGAGAGAGTTCCAGAGAGAAAGAAAAAGGTAGAAGTTTCTGGGTGCTTTGGGACTAGAGAGAAAAAATCTAGTTGATGTACTGTACAGAGATTTGTTTTTTCTTGGTATTCTAATTCCATTGATTGAATAAAGCTTGAGAGGTTTTTTTCCAGAAACGTGGTTCTCTGTTCTTGGTGTTTCAATTCGTTGGCTTTGTATTCAATTGTTCATATTTCTCTGGGGTTGCTCGTGATTTCACAAAAAAAAAAAAACATAGAAAAAATTAAAGTTATTCAAGAGTTTTTGACCCAAAAAAATTAAACTGGAACATATTTAAAAGAAATTATTTTTACTTAAAAAAAAGAGAGGAAAAAAAGATGAGAAACAAGAAAAAGTTAAAAAGAATAAGAAATAAAAACAAAAGAGTAAAAAATAGAAGTGGACATAAAATAAAAGTAAAAAGGATATATTCACATGTGGCTAAAGAAAAACAGACTCTTTTATGTATGTTTATAAAAAAAACACATAGAAAAAGAATTAAAGTTTTTCATGAGTTTTTGATCAAAAAAATTAAGCAAAAATTTATGTAGAGGCATATTTAAAAGAAATTATTTTTAATTAAAAGGAAGAGAGGAAAAAGGATTAGAAATAAGAAAAATTTAAAAAGAATAAGAAATAAAAACAAATGAGAATTATAGTTAAACAAATGTAACATGAGTATTACATTTATTAAAAAAAACACAGTTCACTTAAATATAACATTAAAAAAAATTATAGTACAACACATGTAACATTGAGTATTACAGTTAAACACATCAATTGTTGCACACTTATGAACAATGTTACATGAGAATATAAAAAAAATTACATTTACTAAATTTGTATGACTGTCAGACTTAAGACTTTACCTATAATCTAAACATCTTTTGTAGCTTTATTATTGTGATTTGATTTGTTATGTTTAGAATTTGACGGGACGGGAAACGGAAGGATTAATTTTATAAATATCCCTTGAACTTTATACCTTGTTTTAACATGCTCTCTATTTTAAAATGTTGTCTACATTTATAAAACTAACAAAATAATGACATGACACTATTTATATTCTTATAAATGTCTTCTAAACTATTGATGTTAAGTCAACTTACCTCCAAATTATTACTTTTGTGTCAATTTATCCCTTAATTTTTTTTAAAAATTAACAGACAAATTAACACAAAATTAATAGTTTAAGTAGTATTTATAAAAAAAATACTGGGTGCGTTTAGAATTAGTTTTAAAATGTTTTTTTTTCAATAAAAAGTAAAAATGAGATTGTTTTGAGAATCATTTTAGGACTGATTATGAAATTGCATTTGGTTGATTTTTTTAAGAGATTGTTTTGAGTATAATAAAAAAGTGAAATCGTGTTTATTAATTAATATATTATAATATTATTGATAAGTACTAAAAAATAAAAACAAAAAAATAAAAATAACTTTTAATTATTTTCTAATTCTTTTATAAAAATCATTCTCACTATTTTCATTTTTAAAATATTTATTGAACAAACGTCATTTTATTTTTAAAATATTTATTAAACAAACGTTGTTTTATTTTTATTTTTATTTTTTACTTCTTAAAATACGTAAAACTCGTTTTTAAAAACAATTCTACACACACACACGGTTTTTTAAACCTCTTTTCATACTTTAAATAGGTGAAATAAACCATTTTTAAAATTCACAAAGAGATATAGCAAAATACAAATTTGAGGGTGCATTTTTTAAAATCAATCCGAATCGGAAATGTTTTAAGGGACAGAAATGGGAGACGAAATAAGCCAAAGCCAAATCTCCCTCCAACATCCAATCCCCCCTAACCGCCTCTTCCCCCTTCCCCTCACTCATTCACACACTCATAAAAAAAAAAAAAAAAAAAAAAAATTCGAGTCAAACATTTCCACCATTTCTACGGCTCAATAAACTCTCAAACCCACCAATTGAATTGAAACTGAAATCGATCTGCACCGAAAATGCCACCGGCGCGGCAATCGTGGACCATCGACCCGGACCTGGACGGAATCGACCTTGAATCCTCGGACTTCGCCGCCTCAGTCCCCCTCAAGAAGGTCCCCAACGGCGACGTCTTCGAGGCATCCCGCGCCGGCGACGTCGACCGCCTCCGCTACCTCCTGGAGTCCGGCGTCAACGTCAACGCGCGGGACCAGTGGGACTCCGCCGCCCTCTACTACGCCTGCCTCGCCGGACACCTCGACGCCGCCAAGATGCTGCTCGAGAGCGGCGCCATTTGCTCCGAGCACACCTTCGACGGCGATCGCTGCCACTACGCCGCCCTCAATTTGAAGGTCCGCAAGCTTCTCAAGGCCTTCGAGGCCAGGCCGCCCCCCTTGGGTCCGTTGCAGGCGGCGATGCGGGAGACCTTCCTCGGCTGCGGGGCTAATAGAGCGTATTTGGAGCAGACGGATTATGCTCAGTTGCAAATTTCAGGTGCGTTCTTCTTCCTTTTCTATATCTTCAGCGTTTACAAGATACTTTGTACTACAGCTAATTTGAAAAGCAATTTAAAAGTGATTGACGAATAATTCAATAGACTGCGACGACAATTTTGAGAAGTGGGTAAAAGATTGTTTCTCTGTGCACTTACTCTCATGTGTTGAGTTCTGTGTTAATCACTGTTGTATTGCTTTACTGAATAAGTTGTGTTAAACATTCTTTTGAAAGCATATTAGGTGCTCTAAAATCAATTTCAAATGGGTTCTCGGCTTTTTTTTTAGAAGTGATAAAGTTTGATGCTTTGTTTTGGAATTGGATGTATGTTTTTGGGATGTTGGTATTATAAGTAATTCGTATGAGAATTTTAGTGTTATGGTGAAGAATGATGTTTCCTAGATTATCTACTTTAATAGTTTAGTGAAGATCAGTTTACATTCTGATTATGGGCATTTTTATTGTGTTATTGCGTGAAACTTTGCATCCAATGGACAGTAAAGATTGGAGAGAAGGGATGGGTGGTTATCCGATTGAATCCTTTTCTACACAGTTTAACAATGGAATTTGGTGAAGTAATGGGAAGACTTTTTCTCGTCGTGGGTGGCAAACGCTCCCATGTGTTGTTATTTTAGATAGGAAACAGGCAGGCAAATGCTACAGCTTGAAGGTGTTCTTTATGCATATAAATTACAAAGCATTTAAATAACACACAACATGTTTCATCTTTTTCTCCTGGTACTTGACATGTAATGTTGTGGGTAGGTCCTTCATTGGGTTTGGCTTTCAATTCCAGCCACTTCCCACCAGATGCTGTTTTCCTTGTGCAAGGTAGACCCATTGAAGCTCACAGGGTGATTTTGAGTGTTCGATCACCATTCTTTAAGAGAAAGTTTGAGACTGATTGGAAAGACCGTAAAGAAGTAAGATTCGCAGGGGAAAAGTTGTCATATCCTGCTCTTTATAGCCTTATCCATTTCTTTTACTCTGACAGACTAGATATTGCAGTAGACGATATGGAAGATCTGGTGAGGATCTGCAAAGTATGTAAATGTGAATCTTTGCAAAGGGTTCTTGAGAAAGAATTGATTCATCAAAAATTTGCCGAGTACAAAGCATTAAGGGACGTAGACAACTCTCAGAAACGGTTTATTTTACAGGGTCTGTCCCTTCCTGAAAAAGACCGTCTTCCCAGTTCCTTGCATTGCATACTCCAAATTTCTCTTGCCAATTCAACCTTGGAAACTAAATTAGACAATAGTGTTGAAGGATTAATATCTCATGCAGATAGAATGCATATAAGTAATGTTGAAGATGATCTAGCTGATGTTTGCATCAAAATTGATAAAAAGATTTTTAGATGCCATCAAGTGGTTTTAGCATCAAGGTCAGAGTACTTTAAAGCTAGGTTATCACGGATGAAGGATTTTCTCGAAGGAAATGATGGGTTACCTGTCCATACCCTTCCATGTATTGAGGAACGTGATTTGAGCATGGAAGCATTTGAGAAAATGATTGAGTTTATGTAAGTGTGTACTTTTCTTATACAATTCGAAAGTCGTCGATATAACTCTTTGGCACAAAGGAATACCTTTTTGAATTCCGCATAACTGGAACTTCTTAATCTTGTTTTTCCTCTAGTTATAATTTGCCATATTCTCATTTTGAATGACCGAACAAGATTTCATATTTTTATCCAAAGTAATAATAACAACAACATTTCATATAAGTACTGCTTTAGCATCTTCAAAATTTTATTCCCATGCATTTTGCGATGCCTTGATTTATACAGGTACACTGATGGTTTGAAAGAAATAGACCCTGAGCAGGTATTTTATGTCGTTTAAAGGTGTTCCAATAGTCTCATTCATATTATTTTCTATTCTTCTGGTTCTGATTTGTAATAATTGTCAGGCTGAGGAAATGTTTGATGCTGCTTCTAGATATTTACTGTTTCCTCTTAAGCGTGCTGTAGCTGATGTGCTACTTCCACTCCTGGAAACGGTTTCACCAGCAGAACTGTGCCATTGGTTGATATTATCAGACATGTAAGATGCTTTTTTTGTCTATTTTAAAGTCTCTTTAAATTTTCTATGTTACAACTCTGCCAACCAATCTAAGCATGCGTGCTTGTATATATGTAAAGAAATATTATTCTCTGATCATGTGGTGTTAATGTTCCCCTAAGTAATTACTTAGAAATTCCCAAATTCGTGAATGGCATCTTTCTGTCTGAAGTATAGGTAAACTGGCCGGTATTTATTTTCCCCATAAAAAGTCCAGCTATTAATATAAAGCTCTTAGATTTATAGTGATGAGTCATGACTACACTTATTTAGCTGCATAATGAATTACCAAGTAATCATTATCTCTTGATATATAGGTATGGTGTTCTGAAGATACGGGAGTATTGTCTAGACGTGATAGCTTGCAACTTTGAGACATTTGCCGAAACTCGTGAATTTCGAGCAATGCTTTTGACACTGCCACCACCTTCTGGAGACGACTCGCTTCGCACAACTGCTCCGAGTGCTCCAGGAGCTGAAGTCAACACAGACCAAGCCAATCTGCTTGATGATTTACGAGAGAAGTGGCTTGAAGCTGAAGCTGCTGAGCTTGACAAGAGAGATGAAAGTGCATTACTTTTTGATAAACGCCTTGAGATGCTTATGGTTGTTGCGGAGCAGGAAAAATCTAATGAAAATTTAACTGACGAGATTCACGATGACTCTAGAACAATAGGATTCCATTCAGCTGCTGTTTTCATGGCAAATGAAGAATAATAATGTACCTAGGTTTGTAGACAATTTTGTTCCGTCCCAAATGTATAAATAAACACGAGCTTTTCCTTATGCCTCGTTCACTTCGCGGATTCGAGTTTTCAATTCGAGCTGAGATATGATATTTTCTGAGAGATTTTCACTGTAGCAGAAAAAGTTAGATGTGATATTTTCTGAGAGCTTTTTACTGTAAAAACTTAAAACTGAAAACTCGAATCGGTAAAATGAACGAGGTCGTAGTGTGGCAAGGTTTCCGGATGGAAAATTGAGTGTCTCAGAGTGCTTCAGTTGGGTTTTTGTAACTTTAGTTACTCGAGCATCCTCAATTGCATTCCATTTTTTATTTATAACAATAAAATGCGTGGTTCAATAATATGCTTCTTTTGATGGTTGTTCCTTAGGATTTTTTTTCCTCTACAGATTAAAGGAGTTACAGGAACAGAGCGTGTATGGCACATGGATCTCTTATGAAGTAGACTTTCATATTCTCCGACCGCCACAATGAGACTAACTCAAATCTAAGATTTTATTGTGGAGAAGAAACAGCCGAACTACCGCGTCAAAGGACCAGTAGTAAGGTTGGAAGCTTAATGCACCATGGAACGCTTGTTCATGCCTTCGTACTGAAAGTAACAGCACATTTATAAGACTGGTTAAATACCATATGTTACCTTTGATACCTTGCAAAACGCAAGCATCTTAAAAACTTTGTGGAACCATTTGCTGAAAGACTGAACTGTATGTCATTTTCAACCCAACAAATGATGCTTTCTGCTGCCCATCTTATTATTCAACAAAATTAATGTAATTTCCTTTAAAAGAATATACCTAGGAACAAAAAATATAACCAAAATTTACATGAGTAACTTTTTTTTTTTTTTTTTCTGTGGTTCACAAGCACAAAAAATTAGCACTCTCTTCCACCGAGAGCATGTGAGGTATATGCTAACTGCAATATAATCACCTTTATCCTCATCTTTTGAGAGAGGGGGAAAAAAAAATAAAGATGTACTTTCCGGTTATTCTTTATCTTCACTGTCTTTTCCTACAACTTCTGTAGAGTGTTCCTCATTCTCAACATTTTGAGCTGGTTCCTCGTTTTCAGCTATTTCGAATGATTGCTCGTTTCCAGCCTGCGGGGATGGAGTGTCAGAAGCAGCAGCATCATCAACAGACAAATTAGACACTTCATTTGACAAAACTGTCTCGCTTTCACTGGCACTGCTAACAGAAGCAGCAGGGGACTCATCAGGAGTGTTCTCCGCTTCAGCTGCTTGTTGCTGCAGGCTCCAGTACATAATGCTTGCCGTCAAAATGAGAATCATCTTCTGGTTTACCTGTGGTAACGATGCACATGAAAGTACAATTTGGATGTTAAACCAAGTCATCCAATCACCCATGAACATTTAAAGAAGGAAGAAGTAAAGAATGAAAATTACAACTAAACCTGGAAAGGTAGCAGAGCCCAACATAAACTTTTTATTTTTTATTTTTGGAACAGTTCAATTTAAGGCTGATTGCCAGAAAAAGATGGTTTTTTTTAGAGCTGAAATATGAAGTAGACTTTTGAATTATAACCTTCACAGAATGAAGTCAGGAGACCTTAGAATCCCACCATATTCGGGCTCAGGCTCTAGACTTATTCTAAAGCTAGACATTTTTTTTTTGTCCTAATCAGAGACAACTAGCCATTGAAACGAACCATTACAAGTGATATCTGATATTTTAAGCAAATCAAAGAGTCAATATTACTACAGTTCTATATCTATGACTTGAAAAATAAGTTACCTCGATAATGTCCTCCGGTAACAAGAAAATGGAGCAGCCAAGCTTCCGAGCAACACTGATTATATATGTTGCATTCAATTTCTTGTCTTCCTCTGCAAATTAATAAAACGAAGAAACGTTCAACACATTTTTAAATGTAATATTATCATCAACATATCCATTTCAGACACCACAAAGGCGAAGGTTGATGCATTCCTTTCTTAATATATCTTCTATGATCCATGACAAAATATATCATCTGTTGTATAGCCAATCTCCTTATAACAAAGAACAATTGATAGTTATCGAGACTTTACCAGTTTCCCCTTTCGTGACAACACTCCAGTTTACCACCCTTGGCTCAACAGCACTAAGAAGCTCGAGGAAGAAGATACCATTTGAAAGGTTTTTATCCTACACAAGGTTAAGTTTAAAAAAAGAAGAAAAAAGATTTAGAAAACCGACTGGTGGTTTGAAACTGATTGCGATACAGGGTTATTCTTTGACTTTTTACCTTGAAGCTTTCCATTTGAGAAGTTCTACCGGCCTTCTTCACTTTGTTGTTTGCCCAGTTTAGAATGTCAGCATCGGTAATCTCTTTTCCCTTCTTACCTTGGGAGTGAGATCTCAAATTTCTCAAGAGTTGGAGCATAGAAAATCTCATCAACTGCCATAAATATGCTGGGGAGGATACAAAAGGCAGACAGTTAATTGATTATCATACAGACAGGGGAAAAAAAAAAAAAAGAAAAAGAAAACATTATGAAGCTCATACATTTCCTTGGGAAAATCTTTTTGGAAAAAAAAAAAGACTGACATGTTAGTGTTAGAAATTATTATCAATGCCCCTTGTCTAAAATTAATAACATAAATACTCTTGAATGATGACGTCATTAATTAGAAGGTTTAAAGAAAAAAAAAAAACCCCCACGTGGTCGCTCGCTTTGCTTTTGTCCCCCCCACCCCCCGCCAAAAAAAAGGTTCACTAATCATCCGGAAAAAAAATTGTTCCAAATTCCAAAATGGATAGCTTAAAGTGGATTTTAGACATTTATATCCATGATGCATGCTTGTACTTTGTAATAATTGGAAAATTAAAAGTTCAAATTAGTTAACCATAGATCATCTATTGAAGGAAATTCAAGGATAATTTGGGTATTAATTAACTTACAAACTTACCCAATATGAGCTTCTTATTTCCTTGCACAATATCATTCCCAGCTACATTAACAAGAGAGAAGTTTAATTCCTTTCCAATCTTTATAACTTGATTGCAGTTCTCAACTTTTCTGAAAGGCATTTTTATGGGGGGCTTTGTTGCCTGCTTCCAGTTGACTGAACCTTGCGAAACTTTATCAAGAACATCTAGAAGGACCCACCTAAATGCACAAGGGAATGAAGGACACACAAAAACCGGGTCTTAACAAGGCTCCAGATATGTATTGGATGACGACGCGTGAAGAGAAGAAAAACCTTACCCATTTCTGACATCCTCAAACACATTGTTGACATAAGTAGCAGTTCCGAGACTATTAATCCAGAGTCTAAAACATCTCTCTTCCCGAGAAGTTTGGGCATCGTCGGTCATCATCTCAGCAAAGGACATTTTCTTAGTGTCGACGGTCAAGCCATTCCTGCCAGAAAAATTAAGAAAAAAAAAATGTTATCATTTCCTGTCAGGGCATATTGGAGAACATTTAAGAAAACGACTAGGATCCACGAGGGCCAAAGATAAACTAACAACTCTCAAAGATTGAGATTTGGTAATAAACTAAATGACAGTTATTTCTTACCTGTGTTGGAATATTTGTGCTACAAATGCAAGATTGAGATTTGGTGAGCCCTCAACAATGTCCTTAGGAGTCAGGTACCTTTTGCAATCCAATTTTGCCGCATGCTCAAGAACCATATCTGCTCTTTCTGTTGGATCCTTTTTATCCAAGGCAGCAGGACCTGAGTGCTCTGGCGCAAGAGCATTTAGGAGATATGCATAGGCCTCTCCATCCTATAAATACATAAGGTTATCATACCATTATGGGGACAAGACAGAGCATCTCGGAAACATGAAAGAAGCGCATCTAAATGTGAATTTTATATTTTACTCCTACTAATAGATCTGAATCAAAATTCAAACCATATTTCTTATTTGACTACTACGATGATTACACAATTTCTAAACTATAGCTGATAACCCAGTAGATAGTTTACAGTACATTTAAAACGGAATACCCGTCTTTTTGTTGCTGGGGAATATACATCCAGCGTTTTTCTTCTTAATTTATGTTGTTTCAACTTGCTCTTATGCAACTTTTTCTTTTCGACAAGCCAACTTGCGAGTAGCCGAGTACTATCACAGCAATTACATAAAGGCTAACGTAAACTGCCACTAGTCAATAAATTCATTTCCCCTTACCTTCACATCAGAAGAGAAGTTCGTGACCTGTTTCTCATATCCGGCCTTCTTAAGATGGAAATTCATCCATTTCAGTAACACTTTCTCAGGCGGTAAACCCATGAGTTCCTCCACATCCTGCCAAGTTAAGGCATTATAGTAAATAAGTGTTCATTTATTTAAGGTTCAATTATCAAACAATAATGTTTTACTATAAAATTCACAACCTTGCTGTCATCCACTAATTCAACAAGTTGTGGAGTTTTCTTCAGATTGAGATCAGCCAATAGTTGAATCTGATTTCCATCACATGAAAATATAACTAATATTAAATCCTTGATAACCCAAGTTGAAATAAACAGTTTGTATGTCTAAGAGAGAACCTCCAAATGCAAAAAGAACAAATTCCACTTTAGATACCTTAATTATTTGAGAAATTAGTCCAAGCAAAAGATGTGGCTGCAAAATATAGACAAAGAGGCACCAATTAGAGATACCGTTGAACAAATATCAAGAAAAAAAAAAAAAAAAAAAAAAAAAAAAAAAAAAACTACCGACAAATTCGAACTAGAAGCTGGCAGTAGGTAACTTACTCTCCCCTCAACCAAGTCCTGGGTGCCAATATTAACAACTGTGCAGCCAATAGCCTTTGCAGAATTAAGGCAAAGGGTATGATTCTCATTCCTCTCCCATGGATTAAGAACCGCTTTAGTGTTAATTGCTCGCTCATCAATAGTCCCAGGAACAGCAACGTTAATAAGTTTGCTGCATAAATCAACTATAAGCATTAACTAATTTGTATTTTCTTAACTGCATGGAGCAACTAAAATCATTCGCAACCTTAAACATGTTGGTCATACTAGGAATAAAAGATTTTCAATGTTTCAGGCACACCTACCAGAGGAGAACTCCATCTTTCACGAGATCAAACAACGCATTTGTAGATGGATCTATAGGAAGATACTTCTTCAAGAAAGGATCTTCCCCCAGGTAGCTATTAATATGGGAAACATACGAAGCCTTCTCAGATTCGTTAATCGTATGGTGTACAGTTGTTGTGGTTGCCTTAAGAAATGAAGATGAACTTTTTGAACCACCCGATTTTGCTGTCACCCGCCCTTGCAAATTCAAGTGTGCCTGCCAATTAGGAGTTCTAAGAGTTGTTTATTCCCATAATTTCTACCACCAACACTTGAGAAAAATGAAATATACACAAACAAAACATAATGATTAGGCATGGGCGTCTTTTCTCAATCTACCACTCAGTGACTTTCTTCTTGTGTTATCCTAAATTTCTTTACCCCACCAAATAAATCACAATCTTAGAGAAAATCCATAACAACACGTTGAAAATACCTGAGCAATAACATCATTAAAAGACTTACTCGGAGGAAGGACTCGAAATCGATTTCTTCACCCATGTCCTTGCCTGATTCTTGCAATATGGCTTTAATCTCATCCTCAGAGAAAATTTCACTAAAAGCCTTCAGTTTCACAAACAGAGGTGGCAAATCTCCCATTGTGACGCGACCAGATTGAGTTCTCACCGAGAGGAACTACAAAACCAATGCAACAATTTCATGTCAATCAATATTGCAATTTCATCAACAAATATAATTTCTCTAAACAAAATTTATAGCAGCATTATACTTTGAAGAGAACTGCAAGTGCCAAATTTCATAACCCAAAAAAAAAAAAAAAAAAAAAAAAAAACTTACTTTTGATTTGAGGGTGCGAAGCTCCACTTGGGTGAATTGGCTCTGTAGCCATGGATCCGAAACAAGAACACCCACAAAACCAGACATCTTCACCTTCGTACGGCCTCAACAAAAATGTTTAAACTGATACAACAGAAAATAAATAATATCATCAAAAGATTATATACGTGACACAAAGCTTTTATCTCTATCACAAGTTGGAATGAAACTCAATGAGCGGTCAACCACCAAACCCAAACTCATACTCCGATCCATATATCAGAAAACAGACGAAAACCCAAATCTAAAAACAATGAAACACACGTAAGGAAAACGAAAACACGCGTTTCCCCGATTGAGCCAACAGTCAAAATGGAACAAAAAAATCGGTGCAAAAAGACAAAATGAGCAAAATAAAAAGGAAAAACGAGAGTCCCAATGAAGGTGACCGACCATCGTACCTTACGGATTCTAGAATCAGAAGCTAGAGCTGAAAAATATAAAGCTCATTTTGCATTATTTTTGAGGAAGATGGGAAGTTTGTTCTGTGAAAATGAAGAAAAGAAGGGAGAGAAAAGGGTGGTGGCAATAGGGACCCCCGGATTGGCAGGGCCAGCAAAAGGCAAAGAAGAGAAGAGGAGAGAGAGAGAGAGAGAGAGATGGTTTTAGTAGTAGGAGACCTCTCTCGTCCTCTCCCTCGTTTATTCATTCATTCAGTTTTCGTGGGCAACGTTTATTACGCAACAATTCAGATAGAAAAATAGATGTCCATTTCAATGTGCAGGAGCAACCTTGTTATTTATTTTTTCTTTTTAAAAAATAAAACAAATTAAAAAGACCCACTCACATAAAGCAATATCCTCTTTTTTTTCCTTTCAGCAATAATAATATTAAAGAAATGATAATAATTATTATCACAAAGTATTGTATGATTAGAGAATAACCGAAACATAGATGAGTGCGGACTAGAGCTGAAAAACGAGCCGCCCGCCAGACCACGCGGGCCACGAGGGTCAACTTGGTCCGGTCTTCATGAGAGTGGGACGAGCTCTATACATCCCATATAATTTAATATAAAAACATATAAAATTCACTTTTTTTTTTTTTTTTATCTAAGCGGTATAAATATTAATAAGTACTATTTTGAATGGTATTTTTTCATTTCTCCTCATATAAAAATATTGAAAAGAGTTTAAACTTGGGAGTCAAAAACCTAGCACAGCCTGGATATTTGAGCCGAATAGGGTTAGGTTTTTATGCAACTCGATCATTGATTGTTCGTTTGGTACGAGATTTAAATTATGGTGATTCTAATCATGATTATGAAATCAGAACCATGATTCATGATTTTAGGTTCAAATTATGATTCTGAAACTATGATTCAGAATCAGGGGTTTGAATAACCTCGAATCAAGAGGGGAGTGGTTTTAAAATCATAATTTGAATTAGTTTAAAATATCACATCAGATTTTGAATCATGATTCAGAATCATCTAAACTAAACACTGATTCTGAATCATAATTCAGAATCATTATAAACAAATACTAATTATTTTGAATCCATCTACTAAACGCACTTTGAGCTAAAAATGCACGTCACAAGTTGTCTCGCTTACCTAAATCGTATTTAACCTACTAGTGGTCCGCACGCTTGTATTTTGCTATGATTAGTATCAATATCATCCGGAAAGGGTATAGTTTGCTACTTTCCCCGTTTGGGGAATGGTGTAGCCCGCTTCTTTCCCAACTCTGCTTTATCCCATTCTGTTTGTTCCATTTGGGTTGGTTTTATGCCTAGCTGTTTGAGCTCTTATGTACTGATGGACTTTTCTTTCGTTAAATAAAACAGTCCATTTTTCCTTTAAAAAAAAAAATGCTTAATAGCACCATTAGTATTGAGCACCACAAATATATTGGAGCATTACCTGACAACTAATAAAAATGTACTCTAATTATAAATCTTATGTTGTATATTCTATTAATATGTGGTGTTGAACGTTAATACTATCTAAAAATATGTTAAAAAAAAGACAAATTGGTACGGATTTTTCAAGTTCATTCAATTCCCTTGTTTGTAGGCATAGTTGTTTAGGCTCTATGCGTCCAACAGGACTCTAGTTGATTAATGATAGAGAGTGCTCAAATCATGAACCTTTTTAAAGAAAAATCGCCAATTTTACATGTCTAGCTCTTGAACTTACAATTCATTTCATAAGAGCAACACGGTTTTGTTAGAGAACAATTTTTATATTAGGAATTTTTCTTTTTTCTTTCCCTTCTTTTTTTTGGGTCAAAATATTGCATCATTTTGTAAAAGCTTTTAGTCTTGAAAATTATCGTTCACATTTGCGGTATTTTCTTCCCTTGCGGGTAGGGGCGGCAGAAATTTGCTGCCAGGCTTTGCCTCTTCATAACGTTTTTACATCTATAGAAAATTTATTTTCGAAGTTTTCTAATATTTTCTGAATTTAGGACAGAAAAACCATATATTGGAAGAAGTTTTTACGCTCCAAGATTCCCAATCTAATGACAACAAAGAAAAAGCCAAAGTGAAAATTGACTAGTTTTTGGATTTTTCGTTTCCTTTCCTTTTCGCCCGGTATATTGGAGGCATCTTAAATTAGAAAACGATAAAATATGTCGCATGCAAGTTTGATGTGAAGTTGATCGCTACATCATTGAATGTCTTTAAGCTGAAGCGAAGGCTCAACCAAGCAAAAGAATTTTCAGCAATTGTAGGAAAATATTTTATTTTCTGAATAATTATAACAAATAAACTTATGGGCAATATTATAGTGAATGGCCCTTTTTTTGAGAAGAAAAAGTAGGGTGTATTGCGAATAACAGGGAGAATCAGAGAAAAATGAATAATGCTGTTATTGATTAATGTGAATAGTGAAAAACCACTTATATACACAGTTACAAAAGATAAATATTGTAACTACTTCATACACGTCAGCAAAGCTTGCAAGGTAAGCTAAAATACTGAAATATGAAAAATGATCAGCTGATGTAATACACCCCCTCAAGATGGACTATAAATGTCCTTTATAGCCATCTTGGACAACAGAGGAAAAAGTAAGGACAATGGCAGCGGTTTAGTAAAAATGTCAGCAAGTTGATGCTGGGAACGAACAGGCAAAAGCTTGATAACGCCTGCAGTGAGTTTGTCACGAACAAAATGGCAATCAATTTCGATATGCTTGGTGCGCTCGTGAAAAACTGGATTAGAAGCAATATGAATTGCTGCTTGATTATCACAAAAAATAACCGCTGGATCGGTAGCAGGAAAAGAGAGATCCGCCAACAACTGCTTCAACCATATAAGTTCACTAACAGTGGCAGCTAATGCCCGATACTCAGCTTCAGCAGATGACCGGGGAATAGTAGTTTGTTTCTTGGACTTCCAGGAAATTAATGAGTCACCTAGGAACACACAAAAACCAGTGATGGATTTCTGGGAATCCAAGTAGGCAGCCCAATCAGAATTGGAAAAAGCCTTCAATTGAAGGGAAGAAGTAGAGGAGAAGAATAATCCTTGACCAGGCTTAGATTTAAGGTACCGCAACAAGTGATGAGCAGCTTGAAGGTGAGGAACTCGAGGACAAGCCAAGAACTGACTAAGCTTGTGAACAGCAAAAGTAATATCAGGCCTGGAAAGAGAGAGATAAAGCAATATACCAATAAGTCTTCGATAGGAAGAAGCATCCTCAAGAGGGTCTCCAGCGCTAGAAGCAAGCTGCAACTTAGGATCCATGGGAACACTGGCTGGCTTAGCTGTAAGAAATCCAGTATCATCAAGTAACTGGAGAGTGTATTGCCGCTGAGACAAAATAATGCCCTTGGATGATCGAGCAATCTCAGGACCAAGAAAAAACTTTAAATCACCCAGGTCTTTGAGCTTGAATTGGCTATGTAAAAACAGCTTCAAAGAATCAATGATTTTAAGGTTAGGACCTGTAATGATAATGTCGTCAACGTACACCAGTAAGGCAACAAAGAATGAACCACAGCCTTTGGTGAAGAGTGAGTAATCAGACTTAGATTGATGAAAGCCGAATTGAAGCAAGGCATGAGAAAACTTGGAATACCATTGCCTTGAAGCTTGCTTAAGGCCATATATAGACTTGTGAAGCTTGCAAACCAATTTAGACCCTTGTCCAGAAAACTTCCCTTTGCTGTTATACCCCAACGGAAGATCCATATAAACCTCTTCAAAGAGATCGCCATTGAGGAAAGCGTTATTCACATCCAACTGAGTCAAATGCCAATGTTGAGAAGCGGCCAAGGCCAGTAACAACTTGACAGTAAGCAACTTGGCAACGGGAGAAAAGGTATCCAAGAAGTCTACTCCTTCTTGTTGAGTGTAGCCCCTTGCTACAAGACGAGCTTTATGCCGCTCTATGGATCCATCTGAATTATATTTGATGCGATAAACCCACTTGCAGCCAATAGAGGACTTGTCTTTAGGCAAAGAAACAACAGACCAAGTATGGTTATGTTCCATAGCTTCTAACTCAACCTGCATGGCAGCTCGCCACTCAGGATATGTCACTGCCTGATGATAAAACTGAGGCTCAACTTGAGTGGCAACTGTGAGGACAAATTGTTTATAGGACGGAGAAAGGGCATCATAGCCAACATGATTGGAAAGAGGATATAGAGGACTAGAGAAATCAGAAACCTTGGAGTCGGTATGAGTCAAAAGGTTACAGTGAAAATCCTGAAGATAGGAGGGTGGTTTGATTTGCCTAGAAGACTTCCGAGAAGGCAAGTCAGTGGAAATATGATCTGTGGTGGATGTTGGAACAGAGGAATAAGAAGGAGAACTCGGCTGATTTGTGGAGAAATTGTCAGGAGGTGGTGTAGGTAATACAAGGTCAGGGAAAAGGTCAATCAAATTCTCTTATGTAGTGATGGAATGAAATGGAAAGACATGTTCGTGAAAGACAACGTCTCTGGAAATGAAAATCTATTTAGTTTGGATATCATAGAGTTTATAACCTTTAATGCCAACAGGATACCCTAGAAAAACACAAGTACGAGCTCTTGCATGAAACTTATCTCGATTAACAGGAAGAGTATAGGCAAAAGCTAGACAGCCAAAGACTCGAAACAAGGTATAATCAATAGAGGAATGATAAAGAACCTAGTGAGCAGTTTTGTGATGAAGCAAAGATGAAGGAGTCCTGTTGATTAATAAGGCAGCAGTCAAAACACACTCAGTCCAAAACTGAAGTGGAACCCGAGATTAAAAATATAGTGCACAAGCAACATTCAACAAATGTTGATGTTTCCTCTCTACTACAGAATTTTGCTGGGGCCTGTCAACACAAGAAAACTGATGTAGCACACCTTTAGCATCAAAGAAATCAGTAAAAGCAAGCTCTTTGGCATTGTCAAATCGACATTCTTTAATGGCAGAATCAAACTGAGTTGCTATCATATTGAAAAATTTTGGAAGAACAAAGGTTACATCAGATTTCTGTTTAAGTAAGTATACCCAAGTAAACCTTGTGTAATCATCTACCAAGGTTAAAAAATACCTATGACCACTATAAGAGGCCTCATGAAAAGGACCCCATATATTAAAGTGCACTAAATCAAAAAGGGATTGTCGTATGTGATTAGAAGAAACAAAAGGCAACCTCTTTTGTTTTGCCAAAGGGCAAATATAACATGGTTTTGGAAAATCAGCCTTGGAAACTTCATATTGCAGCTTGTCTTTCAAAACTTCAAGCCG